CCACCACCATCACCACCTCCACCACCTCCACCACCACCACCTCCACCACCACCTCCTCCTCCTCCACCACCACCACCACCTCCACCACCTCCACCACCACCACCTCCACCATCTCCACCACCACCTCCACCACCACCACCTCCTCCACCACCACCACCACCTCCACCACCACCACCTCCACCATCACCTCCTCCACCACCACCACCTCCACCACCTCCACCACCACCACCTCCACCACCACCTCCACCACCTCCACCACCACCACCTCCACCACCTCCACCACCACCACCTCCTCCACCACCACCTCCACCACCTCCATCACCTCCACCACCTCCATCACCTCCACCACCACCACCTCCACCACCACCTCCACCACCACCACCACCACCTCCACCACCACCACCACCACCACCTCCACCACCACCACCACCACCACCACCTCCACCACCTCCACCACCACCACCCCGTGAACAAAGAGAGGCTGGGATGTGAAGACGTCAAGGGGGTCCTCTGAGGAATTCGCCTCCAGCGCCTCTCGCTCTGCTTGATCCCAGCGTTCGTTCAGAGGAAGAAGCTTGTCAACCGCGGCTGCGTTTGTTCATTTTTCGTTTTGTTTTTTTGGTTTTTACGCCGCTGTTCAATCGGTTGTTACGAATGAGGAGTCGAAAAGTGCAACGAGTCGGTGTGCAGCGCACGATGTAAGCCGCGGTTGTGATTACGTTGAAGGTTTGGCGATAACGAAATAAATGTGTCGGGGTGGGGTGGGGGGGAAATTAAATGTAAACATCGATATTTTGCCATGAAGTCTGCAGGTAAATGAATGACGGTGAATGACTTACGTAACGATCCATCGATTCAGACATTAATATTGATTTGTTATCGATCATTACTCTCAAAATGCAAACGTTGAATGCCGTCTGTGAGAATTGATTATTTAAGAATCGTGAAAATGACTTGTTAAAAACAAAACAAAAATATCCTCGCGGTACATGCAGAGTCACGGAGCGACCAGAGAGTTGTAGAAATGGCAGGGGGAAATAAAAAAAAACCGATAAACGATACAAACTAGACGGTGGAAAACCGCGATGAAGAATCGAATCACAAAACCCCTTCGATAAATGACAATTCACCAGAACCTCTCGGAGTGGGCGTTGAGTGCGTTACATGTTGACTGTGATGACAGCGCCTCGTTTGCTCCACTCACCCCGGGAGAAATATCAGCACTCTGCAGATGGGCTAGGCTAGGAGGTGTAGTGACACTTTGTAGATGGGCTAGGCTAGGAGTTGAAGTGACACTGTGTAGATGGGCTAGGCTAGGAGGTGTAGTGATACTGTGTAGATGAGCTAGGCTAGGAGTTGTAGTGACACTGTGTAGATGGGCTAGGCTAGGAGTTGTAGTGACACTGTGTAGATGGGCTAGGCTAGGAGTGTAGTGACACTGTGTAGATGGGCTAGGCTAGGAGGTGTAGTGACACTTTGTAGATGGGCTAGGCTAGGAGGTGTAGTGACACTTTGTAGATGGGCTAGGCTAGGAGTTGTAGTGACACTGTGTAGATGGGCTAGGCTAGGAGGTGTAGTGACACTGTGTAGATGGGCTAGGCTAGGAGGTGTAGTGACACTTTGTAGATGAGCTAGGCTAGGAGGTGTAGTGACACTTTGTAGATGGGCTAGGCTAGGAGGTGTAGTGACACTTTGTAGATGGGCTAGGCTAGCAGGTGTAGTGACACTTTGTAGATGAGCTAGGCTAGGAGGTGTAGTGACACTTTGTAGATGGGCTAGGCTAGGAGGTGTAGTGACACTTTGTAGATGGGATAGGCTAGGAGTTGTAGTGACACACTGCAGATGGGCTAGGCTAGGAGTTGTAGTGACACTCTGTAGATGGGCTAGGCTAGGAGTTGTAGTGACACACTGCAGATGGGCTAGGCTAGGAGTTGTAGTGACACTCTGTAGATGGGCTAGGCTAGGAGTTGTAGTGACACACTGCAGATGGGCTAGGCTAGGAGTTGTAGTGACACACTGCAGATGGGCTAGGCTAGGAGTTGTAGTGACACTCTGTAGATGGGCTAGGCTAGGAGTTGAAGTGACACTGCAGATGGGCTAGGCTAGGAGTTGTAGTGATTCTGCAGATGGGCTAGGCTAGGAGTTGTAGTGACACACAGCAGATGGGCTAGGCTAGGAGTTGTAGTGACACTCTGTAGATGGGCTAGGCTAGGAGTTGTAGTGATTCTGTAGATGGGCTAGGCTAGGAGTTGAAGGGATTCTGCAGATGGGCTAGGCTAGGAGTTGAAGTGACACTCTGTAGATGGGCTAGGCTAGGAGTTGTAGTGATTCTGTAGATGGGCTAGGCTAGGAGTTGAAGGGATTCTGCAGATGGGCTAGGCTAGGAGTTGAAGTGACACACTGCAGACGGGCTAGTCGCCCCATGATGGCCGAGTACCCATAATGAAAGCTCGCCTATTAATGCACTCGCAAGGCCGGGTGGAAAACGAAAAGAGCTGAGCAGGGCTCCGAACGCCTTTGCGTGAGTGTAGCTAATGGCGTGAGTGTAGCTAATGGCTTGGGCAAAGAGGCGACCAAGAATGTCATTATCGCGCGCACCTCGCGTGGGAGCTCTCTCCCCCCTCCAATATCGCCGCAAAGTACCTGCACGGAAGACTCCGAAAGCAGAAAAGAACATCGCCAGGCCCACGTCGCCGCACGACAGACAGCCGCCACAGGTCTGTGCACCACACGCTATCGAGGCGTCGTTGGCAAATTGTCCGATTTGTTGTTGCTGTTGTTTTTGCTGCTGCTGCTGTAAGAATGAGCCCACGCCTCCATCATCGCCAACAAAGGGCAGATATCTCCGTTGAGCCATTGAGCCGGCTAAGCGATTCCCATCAGCCCCGGGAGCCGACCTCGAACCAAGCCTCACTCACCAGCGTGGTCAAAGTGCCGTCGACAAACCCCCCACGGCCGACACAGCAACGCAAGGGAGGCCTTCATCCAGCAGTCGATTGACGCTCCATAAAGCAAAATTGTCCATGATACAGGTTTTTCTTTTTGGGTTAGATGGTGTAAATATATAATTGTGTCGTTAAACCCGCCGCCACCCGACACAGCCAACTAGTAAGGGTTGTCACGTTAACAGAACGTGGCCAATTCGTCACTAGTACAGCACTAGTGTGTAGTTTATAGTGTAGTGAATAGTAGTGCATAGTGTAGTGTATAGTGTAGTATACTAGTACAGCACACCGGTGTGTTGGAGAGCCAAGCCACAACATTTACAATCTGAGTACGACGTTTCGCCAGTAATTACAACTAGCTTCATCAGGAGACAGCCAGATTTGTGGAGAAGCCGCGGAAGCCTACGCGTTAAACCCATCAAAATTATATTGCGTTTATATGGCATTGTATGTACGTGTGTGTGCTGAACTTCCTTCACACCGTACGTAACCGGCCATGCTCGTCACACTCGGAGAGAACGGGAGTATTTATTTAATAATGGGAAAAGAGGCAGGCAGTCATAGGCAGAGGAAAAATAGGTCTTGACGAGGGACAGATAAATCTTGGCTTAAAGCTTTCGTGACTGCAGGAATTCATATTATTTGGGTCTTTCGGTAAAGTTCAAAGAAAATAACAAAGAATAACTTAAAAAAACTACGACGTTTCGATCGCGACACAAGCGATCGTCTCTCCTGATGACGATTGCTTGTGTGTCGCGATCGAAACGTCGTAAAATTGTTGTTGTTATTTTTGTTGTTATTTTCTTTGAACCTATCTACGTGACTTTACCAAAAGACCCAAAGAATATGAGGGGGGCAGGTAGTCGACAGCACGGATGGCTGGGGGGACGGGAGCTCGGGGGGGGAGGGGGGTTAGCAGCGTAGGAGAATGAGAGACCTCCAACGGAGCCATGGCACAGAGAGAAAGAGAGAGAGAGAGCGCGTCCGAGATTCGTCGAAACGAACCACACGCGAATCTCACATCGCCAGCACATTGCACTTGTGGCAAGGCAGACGGAAAATCCAGACTGAGTGGAGCGGGCAGGCGGGCGAGCGGGGACCGAGAAAGATTTCGCCAGACAGAATGAAAGTGTCCCGAGCCTAGGGACGCAACAACTCACACTCACCCGAGATTCAATGAATTTTGGGTCCCCAAATCTGGGCCCGCGATTCAATTCAAAGGGTTGATTTGTGTCGTCGTCGTCGTTCAGCCTCGCTTGTACAGTACTGTCTTCCCCACTTTGACACTGGCACACAATGTGCATCTCATTTACATAGAGTGCAAGAAAACCAATTTGCACCACGTGCGTTGTTCGCTGCGTGCATGCAGACGGTAAAGAAATTAATTTCATCAACTCAATTGAAGCGTGGGTGTCAAGCGGTGGTACAGTGGATCGCGCACTGCGCTCATAACCCGGCGACCTGAGTTCTATTCCCGGTCACAGCGAACGTCAGTGGCGAGTGATTAACCAGAACCGGTCTGGTGTCTCACCCGCTCGTCACCAATCCGCACTGACCAGCGCGGTGAAGTATGGTCAAATAACCCTTTATCGTCGACATGGCGTGCAGTTTCCTTCGTGTAGCAGAGAACTGACAAAAGGCTGTAATCTTCTTGGTTCTTTCGGTAAAGTCACGTAGAAGGGAAGTAATAAAATAATAAAAATAAAACATAATGACTTTACCGAAAGAACCAAGAAGATGAATCCCTGCAGTCACGAAAGCTTTAAATCGAAAAGGCTGTAAATTATGATAGAAATTATTAGTTTCACGTAATCGATGCATCATTGGGTGGCCAAGAGGTTTATGAGTGAGCGAGCGAATGTGTGGGACAGGAGTCAGTGGGGGGGGAGAGACCGACACGGCGGGGCTGGGGATTGATGGGCGGTGTGAAGTGTGGAGGAGATGAGAGGGGACCAGAAGGGAAGAGTGGACAGCGTCACGGAGCAGGCGGCAGGCGGTTGGGAGGCAAGAGGAGAGGAAGGGGTCACGGGTCACGGCGTGGGAGTGACCTCTCACCGGTCGTAGAGGACGTCCTCTTGGCACATGCACACGATGATGTATCCGGACGCACTGGCCATCAGAGCCTGCACCACGGACACCAGCCTGGGCACCACAACAACAACAACAAGGGCATCATCATCATCATCAACATTGTAACCATCATCATCAACATTGTAACCACCATCATCATCATCATTAATCGTCATCAGCATCTACAACATTGTCACCGTCATCATTATTCTCATTGTCCATCATTGTCAATATCATCGTCAATATCATCATCCTCATCGCCATCACTGTTGTTATTCTCTATCGCAGTCGTCATCGTCATTATAACCGCCCACGGAACGGCCCCGCACTCTCTCACAGCCGTTCTTAAAGTGCACGTTTTCGGATCCAAATATCGACAAAATCTCCAGATAAAAAAAAAGAATGTTGTTCCAACCATGCGTCCACGAGCGTATAAGCGAACTCACCCGTTCGTCATTACTACGGACTTATACCCCAGCGCTGCACTGTTCACTGAATTTCGATTTAAAGCTTTCGTGACTGCAGGGATTCATCTTCTTGGTTCTTTCCATAAAGTCACGTAGAATGGAAATAATAAAATAATAACAATAAAACATTATAAAATAATTCTCACGACGTTTCGGCCACAACGCAAGCAGCCGTCCTCAGGTGTAGAACAGGTCTGTCTTCTCGACAGACCTGTTCTACACCTGTATTATTTCCATTCTACGTGACTTTACCGAAAGAACCAAGAAGATGTTCACTGAATGTCCAGGTCCCTGGCAGATTGGAGTGGGTGGCACCACTGTCACTTAACTGGTAATCCACGGCCATAGTGAGGATGACGTCACGGTGGGCGAGATGTTAACTACCTCGCCTGGTACACAGGAGGTTGTGGGTTCGATATTTGTAGTTTGCGTGTCTCTTTCCCTGTGGACGTGCGGATTTTGTTTTATCGGTCCTCGGGTTTTTTTCCCCTCCACATTTAGAAACACGCGTTTAGAGTGTTTGGCTGCTGTGCATTTCCACGCACAAAGCCACTTAGTTGAGTTATTGCGTGTGGCCTAGTCGATGAAAAACAAGAGCTTTACCTGGTAAAATAAAAAAAATATATAGTTTGGTATACTGGGCGTGCTGTGCCTGTTGCGGATATTAATTTTCCGGGACACGGACGGTGACAGACCCAACTGAAATGAAGTCGTGTTGCTTGTAAGAGAAACATTTTAGAAACATCATCAGAAAGGCAACGGACGAGCGGGCGGCTCCTTGGTCCATTTATCTCGCGATGGGGCAGAACGCGCAGAAAAGGCTGCAGGCAGCCAGACACCTGGCGCCAGCAGTTTCCGGAAATATGTCTCTGACGTTTTGGGCAATGGTCCTTCTTCAGCGAAGAGTGAAAGAGGGCAAGAGAGATGCACCGTGGGGCCATGGGAAAACACACTTGGGAGATCTTCACAAAAGTGCGAAATGTTTTTGATAACTTTTTGACATTTCGATTTAAAGCTTCTTTCGTGACTGCAGGGATTAATCTTTTTGGCTATTTCGGTAAAGTCACGTAGAAGGGAAATAATAAAATAATAAAAATAAAACACAATAAAATAATTAATTATACAATAACTTATTTTTATGTTTTATTTTTATTATTTTATTTTATTATTTCCCTTCTACGTGACTTTACCGAAAGAACCAAGAAGATGAACTTTTTGACATTTTAAGGAATGTTAATCACCATGCTCGTCTCGGGGGGAAGAATCTGCAACCCCCCCATTAGCCCAGCATCTCGAGATGGTTACGTTTGGACAATTTATAAACACCGGAGTTCTATCGAACGGGGGATATTGCGTTAATGTACGCTGACAAAGGAGCGGTTCAGAATTGACATATGAGCAGTTTCCTATGAATAGACAATGATCGAATAGCCACGAAGATGCGCACTGCGGAGATGGAGAGAAGAGGTAGTCACCGCACGACTGATGGAATGGCGACGACTTGGTGGGGCATTCATCCAGCAGTGGATTGATCATAGCTGATGATGATGAGGATCAAACAAACCCTGATTATAGAGTAAAATATAGTAGTAGGTTTTTACCCTTTCAACTGGTACAAAAACTGACACCTTTATACAAGGCATCATGTTTGCAATAACCACAACACAAGCAGTCAAAATGCAAACAAAAAGAAACAACTCTGATGATGATAATGATATGCACTGTCCTTGAAGTTGATTGGTCCACACCCGAGACAGCTTTTCTTAGAGCCTAGTCTCCATTGGTGTTGGGCCAGATGACGCCAAAAGGCGTATCATCAGAGTTGTTTCTTTTTGTTTGCATTTTGACTGCTTGTGTTGTGGTTATTGCAAACATGATGCCTTATATAAAGGTGTCAGTTTTGTACCAGTTTTAAGGGTAAAAACCTACTACTATATTTTGGCACTGGTAAAGGAGGTCTCATAGTGTAGAGTAAAAATTAACACATAACCCAGTTTCAATGGGGGCGCCTTGGTGGCGAGATGTCAATTCCCTCGCCTGGTATGCAGGAGGTCGTGGGTTCGACACTAACGCCTGTATATTTGAGGTTTGCATGTTCTCCCCGTGGTCGCGTGAATTTTTCTCCGGGTCCTCCATCCACATTTAGACACATGCGTTTCGAGTATTTCGCTGCTACAAATGTCTACGTAATAAGCCACTTCGTTGGGCTATCATTTGTGGGCAGGCCGCTTATGAAAAACAGCCATATAGCTCATTGGACCATACCTGGCAAAATACCAAAAGTGTATTAATCAATTGTAATAAAAACATTTTGAATGTAGAGCAGCATCGTTACGTCGATGTCGCGTCTCCCTGTGTGAAGCCAAACCTAATGATCTTTAGCATCCGAATATTGTGGTGCTGTAATGACGTCAAGCGAATTTGGACGATTTTTGACCCCTCCCCCCTCGTCACACAGCGTCACAAAAAGCCAGACCCCCCCCCCTCAAATATGACGTCACGAAGCTCTGCCCCCCCCCCCCCCCCAAAACGATATTTCCATTTTGAAAATAAAACATGCGTTAAATCGCTTTAAACTATTGTCATTATAGTGCGTATTTAATGTGGGCTGACTCTGATGCTGTAGGAGTGTTGTTATAACAATTAGTGTTGTTATAACAATTCTATATTTATTTAAAGTTGCGCATTTTGATGTGATGTCAAATTTCTCAAACCCCCCCCCCTCGTCACACATCGTCACAAATGTCTGACCCCCCCCCCCCCCCGAGGTGCGTGACGTCATTTATGGACGGCCCCTAATGTGCTTCCGGTGATTTGATGATGCACACGCCGATGAGGATCAATACAAGCGGATGGCTGCACCGCAGGGGTTGAGATCCAAGGAGCAAGATTTGAAAGCCTCAAGCGGCATTCGTTTCATTGTTCATCCACTCTCCCCTGCACCCTCGACAATTGTTTCGTCGATGGTCACAATTCATCAATAATAGGAGGATTTTGGGGGTGAGATCGCGTAAATATATAAATGTGTCGTTAAAACCCGCCACCACCCGACACAGCCAACTAGTAAGGGTTGTCACGTAAACAGAACGTGGCCAATCCGTCACTAGTACAGCACTAGTGTGTATTCTTAGGTTTTTATCGGTAAAGTCACGTAGGTAAAAATTTTAAATTAATAAAAGTAAAATAAAAAATAAAATAAAAATCACGACGTTTCGGAGGCAACACAAGCTTCCGTCTTCAGGTGGAACCGTCACAGCACGATAGCTGTATTAATTTGAATTTTTTACCTACGTGACTTTACCGAAAAAACCTAAGAATATGAATCCTTGCAGTCACGAAAGCTTCAAATCTAGAATCACTAGTGTGTAGTTTATAGTGTAGTGTATAGTAGTGTATAGTGTAGTGTATAGTAGTGTATAGTGTAGTATACTAGTATAGCACGCCGGTGTGTTGGAGAGCCAAGCCACAACATTTACAATCTGAGTACGACGTTTCGCCAGTAATTACAACTAGCTTCATCAGGTGACAGCCAGATTTGTGGAGAAGTCTATCTGTTTCGTTCCTTATATAGAGGCGTAGATGTCTTGACCACTCTTCTGCGCTCTTGCACAATGATGGGGAAGGGGGCGATTACTGAGGCAACGTACATGATGCATGTGCATTATGCGAGCCCTTTGAACTTGTCCTTCCTGTCTATTGTGTTTATTATTAAAATAGCCCGATAAATGTGTCGTTTTAACGACACATTTATATATTTACGCGAACTAACACAAAAAATCTCTATTATGGATGATATTTGGTCGCGAAAGCCTGCGTGTCAGACTGATCACAATTCACTCTGCACACACGTACTGAGGACAGCACTTTGCTCCGCATTGAATACGTTGCTTAAACCGCTATCGTGCAACCGCAATGTGCGGTGTTGTTCATTCTTAATAATTTTATGACACGTTATAATTATAAACGTCTCCCATTCCAGGTGCTAAACCAGACTGGGCTCTGCTTTGCTGCCGAGATCCGACACATTCAGGGCCATTCGGTCTTGCCACTTGTAAAGGAGGTCTCCATAGTGTAAATGCCTATCCCGAGCTCTCAATACTCTGATAGTGCGCTGTCTTTAAGTTGTACGCCTTTTGGCGTCATCTGGTCCAACACCAATGGAGACTAGGCTCTAAGAAAGGCTGTCTCGGGTGTGGGCCAATCAACTTCAAGGACAGTGCATATCATTATCATTATCAAAGTTGTTTCTTTTTGTTTGCATTTTGACTGCTTGTGTTGTAGTTATTGCAAACATGATGCCTTGTATAAAGGTGTCAGTTTTTGTACCAGTTGAAAGGGTAAAAACCTATTACTATATTCGGTCTTAAGCCAACAGTCGAAGGCATTGCACTACGATGTCCGCAATGTGTTAAGTGTTTAATTGTCTTCATGCACAAATTATGATTATGCTGCTATGGGAGCTGTTGCACTGGTAAGAAAGCGCTCGGTGGCTGCAGCCGAGTTAAGGTCAAAGTCTTTCAACGAGGCATTCACGTCTCTGCGAGGATACCCACGCTTTGCACCACCACGCGCGATCCATCAAATCCAGCGACTGCAAAGCACTTA